CCCTCAGAATGTTGGGGGGCCGGACTATAGTTTGAAAAAAACATGAGAGGAGGAGAGCCGCTGGACCCGGCATACCTGTCATGTAGAATAGTCCAACTCTGCAGTCTCCCTCCTCGTGCATTGCCTGCAGTTCCAGACATAGCCCCGACACTTCCACTTGTGACAGACAGCAGTGGTGGCCAATCAGGTGGGCGGGCTGGATAAATGACCCTGGCGGGCCGTATCCGGCCTGCAGGCCGTACTTTGAGAACCCCTGATGTAGATGAACAGGAGGAGAGAAAGCATCATGCCCTGAGGTATTCCACAGATAAGAGTCTGAAGGCATGACCTGAAACTGGCCCCAAAGAAAGGAGGAGAACTGCTGTAACACGGTGCCTCCAAATCTCAAGCCCCACAGTAGGTCCAGAAGGACACCATGATCAACATTTTTGAAAGCCTCTGAGAGATCAAGGAGCACCAGGATCAATACACCACCCTCACACACAACCCAAGTGAAAAATAGAAGCATGCTGACAAACACAACACGTTACTTGTTTACAAAGAAGAAAATGCAGACACCTCCTTTGGCCACTGCTGGTAGGGGCTCAGAAAGAACTCCAGAATCCTAACTCAGCTGGTTTTGCCTGCCTTGATTAAATCAGAAATGTGGGAATATCAGTACAAAATTCTTTTTATTTTTGTTTGTGTACATCCAAGTTGGGAATATTCTCACTTTCTGAGAATACCTGCCTTGGGCCTGGGTGGGATCCTCTCGGTGAACCATTGCGTTCCTGTCCCTGCTTCTGCTTCCTGGTAGACCTTGCTGCAAGTTCTGCTGCTCCCTGGGAAAGGCAGTAACTGTGTGATGCTGCTCTGGTTTGTGTTTTTCAGGACTGCAGTTTGGAAAATGGAAAGTACATCTTCATACCCCATAGCCAGCCAGTTAGCTGCCTGCATTTTTCTCCCGCTAATCCTGCTCATCTTTTATCTCTGAGTTATGATGGCACATTACGATGTGGGGATGTAACCAGAAGAATTTTTGAGGAGGTGAATATTGATATTTTGCAGCCATTAAATAATACTAGGATGTATTATTTGGCAGGGACCTTGTGGATAATCTACTCCAACCCCCTGCCCAGTGTGGGAGTCTGATACTACAGTAACCTTATACTTACATATTTTTTAGGAAAAGGCTGCAAACTCCTGACAGTGCTGTTCCCTTAGAAAGTGGAGCATAGCTTGATTCATAGAATCATAGGGTTGAAAGGGACCTTGGAGGTCTTCTAGTCCAACACTCTGCCCAAGGCAGGAGTCCTCATACCATCCCAGACAAATGGTTGTCCAATCTTTTCTTGAAAACCTCCAGCGATGGAGCAACCACAACTCTGGGAGGCAAAGCTGTTCCGCTGCTTAATAGTTCTCACCCTCAGGACATTCCTCCTTATTTCCAAGTTGGATCTCCCTCTGACGAGCTTCCACCCTTTGCTTCTTGTCCTACCCTCACGTGCTATGGAGAACCAATCGATGCTTCTTGCCTGTGGCAGCCCTTCAAGTATTGGAAGACTGCTAGCATGTCTCCCTTCAGTCTTCTCTTCATTAAAGCTAAATGAAGAATTTAGGTGCATTATTTAGGTGCAGTCTGTCAGGTCCAGTGGAGTTTGGGATGGACTGTCCCATTCTTGGCCTTCTGCCCTGTTCCAGGAGGCAAACGAAACTGGGGGAAAAAAATGCTCTCTTCCATGCTCCTGGGATGTCCCTTGCTGTTGTCGGAGGGTGAGCACCACAAATCGAGGTCTGGGGCTCTAGAGAGAATCATTGCAGGCCATCTCAGATAGTTTTGTTCTAAGTGGCAACTTCCAACTGTGTCCTGACCCTTTCCGGGAAACAAATTTTAGGGGTTTTTTTGAGTTAGAGAGTGAACATTTATTTTTATGTGTTTGGGAAACTCATCTGTCTGCAAGAAAGCCTGCTTTTCTCAATCTTTTGAATGTGCTGCATGTGACACTTGAAAACAATACATGGAAGTTTAATCTCCAACTGTTGTGAAATGCAAGCATAAAATCAGTAGTTCAGGCTAAATAATATACAGGTAGTCCTCGCTTAGCGACTTTGTTTAATGATGGTCCAGAGTTACGATGGCCTTGGGATAAGTGCTTTACAACCACTGCAGTCACTTGATCACAATTTGCAATCTTTTTTACGATGGTTGTTAAGCAAATCATGTGGTCGGCAAACCCATTGGGGAAACTGGATTCGCTTAATGACCATGTGATTCACTTAACGATCATCATAAAAAAGGTCATAAAATCTGCTCTGGTTTGCTTAATGACCAAATCGCTTAGTGACCTAAATTCCGGTCCCTGTTGTGGTTGGATAGCAAACACTAGATGTATTTCAGGCATAGCCTAAATGGAAACCTCTTTCTCATTCACAGATATACAGAAATGAGGACCACAGCCTTTCTTCGTTTGACTTCTTGGCAAGTGATGCCTCTACTTTGGTTGTAGGAATGTGGGATGGAAGGGTGGCCATAGTGGATCAGAGAACACCGATACATTCCCCCGAGCTCTCTGCAGATCTTCATTCAAAGACGAGAACGGTCCATGTTCACCCCATCAGTAGACATTACTTCATTACTGCTGGGGAAAGGTAGGTTCCCACGCTGACGCCAATGTTTACTAGCCTGGTAGGAACTGGGAAGGAGCTGCCCTAAGCAAGCAACAGCCACCTGTTTGCATTAGAATAGGATCCGAAGAAAAGTGTTTGGCGTAATGAATATAAATTGGTCAAAAAGGCCTACTAGAGATATGCGTTCGGATAAGCAGGTTACCCGGAGCCACATCAGCATTGGGTCTTACTAAGTGGAAGTGGAATTCTTGTCTGCAAGTGATCTTTCCTATCTCACAATATGGAGCAGGGGAAAAGAGGAAGGAGCTTCCCATTGATGCTCACAAGTACCCCCAAGTGTGGATATTTGTTGACTGGCTTTTCACTTTTTTCCCTGAAGCACATTCTCTGAACTACACTGACCCAGCGTATAAGCATTAACAGGGAGTGTATACAGTCTAATCTGCAAGAAGTGAATGGTCTAGAAGCAGTAGGATTCAACTTGATTGAAGTGGTGATACCAACTTGTTTCCGTGCATACTTTGCATTTCTGCTTTATGTAGAAAAAATTATTCTACAGATTTTTAAGTCCAAAATTTTAAAACATGCTGTGAATACTAAAAAAAAAAAAAAAAAATCTCAGCTTTTGCTGTGTCCTACAAAGCTTCTGTTCCTTCCCATTCATCCATGCTGTGAATACTAAAAAAAAAAAAAAAAAATCTCAGCTTTTGCTGTGTCCTACAAAGCTTCTGTTCCTTCCCATTCATCCATGCTGTGAATACTAAAAAAAAAAAAAAAAAGATCTCAGCTTTTGCTGTGTCCTACAAAGCTTCTGTTCCTTCCCATTCATCTGAAACGCCTTCTTGATTGTCATCCCAAGTGAAGTACCAAGTCAAACACCTTTGCAGTAAGACAGAAGAGAGAGCAGCCCCTTGGGCTGCTTTGGGCACAATGTTGGGGAGGGGTCTTGACCTGGGAAGAAACAGTATCCCCACTGTACTGGAAAGGGAGACTCCTTCAGCACCATGCAGGTATGCTCTCCTCAGAGGTTCTGGGTCTGGCATCTCCCGCAACTTTTAGGAGGAGATCTGGCAGTTCCCCTGTGATGTGAGCAGGATGCTTATGCAACTGCTGGCTAGTAGCGCTGTGCTTTGCAACATGTGGGAGTGGGTGTGGAGCACCTGTCCTATTAAATAGGCCACCATATCTAGTTGACCTTTTTTTGCCCCTTATCCTAGGATCTGCACCAAGAAGTTTACCTGTTGATTAGATTAATAGTTGTGAGGCTCCCAACCAAGATCCGCATCAGTTCCTTTCCTCCCTCCCAGATCACCCATCCATCCCAGTTAAGGCCTGCTAGAAGAAGAGATGCGGGGACAGAATTATTGGTCCTCTGCTCTGTTACAAAATAAAACTATGTGTAGCCATCTGTTCAGACCCATCTCCCAGAAAAACCCACTTTTGTACAATGTTTCTCTTTCCAGATGAAGGTTCCCACAGTGAGGTGGGATGGGGGGCAGTGTGAACCTATTACAAACAGAATCAGAAGTATAATTGAGCAGCTGACAGGATCATAGAATCATAGGGTTGGAAAGGATCTTTGAGGTCTTCTAGTCCAGCCCCTGCCAGAGTAGGAATCTTCAGGCCATCTCAGACAAATGGTGGTCCAACCTTTGCTTGAAAACACCCAGTGATGGAGCCTCCATGATTCCAGGAGGCAGACTGTTCAATTGCTTAATAGTTCTTGCTATCAGGGAATCCCTCCTTATTTTAAGTTTGGACCTCTCTCTGTAAAGCTTGCACCAGTAAGTACTTGTCATATCTTTGGATGCTGAAGAATAAATCCACACCCTCTTCCCTGTTATAGTCTTTCAAAGAGGGGAGACTGCTATCCTGTCTCCCCTTAATCTTCTCTTCTTTAGGCTAAATATACACAGTTCCTAAAAGCACTCTTGTTAGGATTTAGCCTCCAAGCCCCTCACCATCTTTATCACTTTTCTCTGCACTCTTTCCAGTTCCTCAGCATCCTCCTTCTATTGTAGCTGCAATATTTAGTCTGACCAGCGTAGCAGAGAGCAGAACTATCACTTCCTGTGATCTCAGCCGTATAACGCTGTTGATGCAGCCCAGAGTTGCTTTGGCTCTTTGGCAGCTGTAGCACACGCCTAGCTCGTGTTTGATCTGTGGTCTGTTAGGATCCCGAGATCTTTCTCATTGCTTGTCCCTGTGCATCTGGATTTTCCTAACTAAGTTTCCTTACATTTAGATTGGTTTCAGTGTTCAGGTCTATCAAGATCCTTTTGAACCTTGAGTTTGGTGTCATCTGCAAATTTGCTGAGTATCCCTTTTATCTCCTCATCTGAGTCATGTATGAAAAGCACTAGGTGACGAGCACTAGGCCCAGGACAGAACCCTGAGGGACTCCACCTCTCCCTCCACCTCTCCCTCCACCTCTCCCTCCACCTCTCCCTCCCTCCACCTCTCTCCATGTGGCCATGGATCCACATGTTGGGTATGGTTGTTCAACCAATTATGAATCCATCTGATCGTGGGACAAGCCATCCCACATTGTTCCATTGTATTTGTCAGGTTTATCAAATGCCTTACTGAAGTCTAGGTTTGCTACCTCTGGGTCTACTAGTCTAGTTATTTTGTCAAAAAAGACAGATTAATCTGGCATGACCTGCTTTTAACAAATCCATGCTGGCTTCTAGTAATCACCTTGTTCCTTTCTAAGGACTAACCCACTGCTTGATGCTCTTTTCTAGGATTTCCCCAGTTACTGATGTCAAGTTAATGGGCCTGCAGTTTCCTGGATCCACTTTTTTCTCTTTCTTAAAGATTGGAACAGTCTTCTGTCTTCTCCAGTCTTCTGCCACTTCCTCTATACTGTTAGTCAAAAAGTCATTTTATGTCTGATTCCAGCTAGATTACATGAAATGTTGCGTTCACCTGAACTCTCACTTCTTCAATTTACAGATAGGGGATAACGTTCTGTTGCCTTGTTGGCCTAGGTATCTGTCTAGATACTCCATAATCCTCTTTGTTTCTGTTTTAAATTAAAGCAATAGTCATTAATCTCTACTGGGAGAATGAAACGATGAAACTTTCCTTTCTTCTCATCTCAGCTGGAACATGGACACTGCATTTTTAAATTAGTAAAATATATAGAAATAGTACATAAATTAAGGAAATCTATTTACTAGGTCTATCCATGCTACTCATTCAAAACATTAACTTAAATATTACATGAGATAATTTCAAAAAGTGATGCATCATTTAATTATTAAGTAATTTTAAATACTTACAATATAAAACATGTTACAAACACTTCTAATTTACATGCTAAACGAGAAGCTAACAGATGTGCATTGCACTGTTTTTCCCCACAGAATTCTTGTTTTTGTTTGAACTGTTAGAAAATGGAAGATTTTCAAACTGTCAACCTTTAATATTTTTATCCTTTCTCCAAGTGAAGGACACTAAGAGTTCATCAAAATCTAGCTAATTTGCATTGCACATTGCAGCTGCAACATCTCAGAAGTTGTCATCCAATTCCTGCTAGTTGATTGATTGATTGATTGATTTTTAAACTTGTATGCCGTCCATCTCCCCCAACGGGTGACTCTGGGCGGCTCACAATAACAAAAAAGAACAAACACACCAATCCCTCCAACAGTGACTAAAGTCCATAAATAATTAAAATACAAACATACATTAAAAATGTCCTGAAAACCCCCTGTATATTTTAGCACTAAAACCTTCAAGATGCTGGGGGGGGGATCCTTGACCGGTGGGATCTGCAACCTGCCCCTTCTGCTGGACCGAGTGGGGCGGGCTGAAACAACCGGGGCGAGACAGTTCCTTAGATAACCTGGTCCTGTGCCATGAAGGGCTTTAAAGGTTATGACCAACACCTTGAATTGGACCTGGAAACAAACTGGCAACAAATGCAG